CATCATATATATATATATATATATATATATATATATATATATATATATATATATATATATATATATAATTTGCAATACCACACTGAAAAACCCCCAGAAAATGCACAAGCGTAGTATGTGACATGATGGAACTATTGTTTGAATATGGTAGAGATGTGACAACGGACATGTTTTTTTTTACGTCCGTGCCAAATGCAGATTTTTTGTTGCAGAAGAACATTACTATTACAATGACATTGAGAGCAACAAGAAAAAAAAAAGAAAGAAAGCCCGATATTGCTGCAATGATGGACACTGCAAAAAGTAGAGATATTCTGTCACTGAAATTCATCAGAGGTCAGCTTCTTCCCAAAGAAAAACAAAACATTTCGGATATTTTCCTCTCAATTTCTTGATGATTCAGTATCCAACGAAAGCCGCGTAATTTACATACTCATTCCCCCAACATCAAACTCTGACATCGTGGGACAGCACATTGCAGTAGGAGTACGTATGGAGATTAAACAAATGACGTCAGTACATCTAGACAGCGGGTAATGCGTTTCAACAGTGGCGACGGCTACGTGGATGAGGTGCTAAAACTGGCAGCTTCTCGTAATGATACGTGTAAAATAGGTTCTGCAACAAGACAATGATCCTAAGCATACCAGCAAAATCATCAAGGAATGGCTTTAAAGAAAGAAGTATCGTACTGTGGAATAGACAGATTTCAAATTCAATAGAAATGTCGTTGTTAGACTTGAATCTGGTGGCTTATGTCACATGACCTCCGACCTCACTCAACTGACTGAGTTTTGAAAGAGACTGGTCAGTGATAGAAGAAAAAAGTGTGGTTGAATTAAACACTATAAAAAGAGGTGCCACAGACTACCAACTAAAAGAGTTCACAAACTTTTGCACGAAGATGTACGGATTTGTTGCAATAAATCACTTTTTTGAATAAATAATTAAAATACATTATTTTCTGTGTTCATTATTTGGAAAGACAACTTTACAAAAGGTGTGCATTTAGTAGGCTTATTTAAATTATTTTCGCAAAACAATGACCAGGTCAGAAAATTTTCAAGCATGTATGTACTAATTTAGTTTCGAGTAATATTCACACAGTACAAGGCCCAGGAGCCACTCAAGGTAAAGGATTACTATGTGGAACTATATTAGCGTAGGAAAGATCAAACGTTATGAGTATAGAGCTGAAGTAGACTTTGGAAAGAATCTGAAACCCAATTCTAAACAGGAAACAAGGATAAACCTTTATTCCTGTTTAAAAGCACGGAGAAGAGTGAACCGGACGATATATATATATATATATATATATATATATATATATATATATATATATATATATATATATGTGTGTGTGTGTGTGTGTGTGTGTTTTGAGCTTAGTATTATTTTTCCCTGATCCTTACTCTTTTTGTAGTTATTATTTATTGGAAACATTGTTAATTCGATTTGGTGGGTATTTCTGCCAATTACACTTAACCATAGCCAATTACGATAGATAGATAGATAGATAGATAGATAGATAGATAGATAGATAGATATGAACAGGGAAAAAGTGACATGAACAGCCCTGTGATAGATAGATAGATAGATAGATAGATAGATAGATATTGAAGATTGAGATAGATAGATAGATAGATAGATAGATAGATAGATCATCCTTATTGAATGGGAATATTTTCCAGAAACTTGAATTTTATGTTATCATCCACAGAGCAATTTAAATAAATACTTTACTAAAGAATTATTCTACGCTATCTTAATTTAATTAAGTATTACATGTAGCAATATCTTAATGCATCGTAAGTTGAGGTCTTTTTATAGACAAACAAATATTCGTAAGACAGTCACATTCATTTGGGAAAATGTTTTAAAAGACGGGAACACATCCTGTTCAGATATTCAGATGAGTCTTATGCCTATGCGTGATACACGCTTAGGCGATCATGTATCTTTCGATACATCACTGACGTGGCAGATTTTTTCCCGCAGTAGGTTGTCAGTTCTTTCTGTGGTAGACCAGTTGCCATCCAAGGCTAGAGAACAAGGTTAGTCCTGCTATTTACTCATAGCTGGAGGAAGAGGATTCATCTCTTTCTTCAGGGTCTTAGCACGTAAGTGAAAGTAATGGATCTAACTGGAATTCGAACTCGGCTCTCCGATTCTTCTGCTGCTATCCATTACTCCACCGTTCCCCCAAGCGTTAGATTACACATGTAATTTACCTAAGACAGAGTTATCCCTCTTGGCTTGGATGATTTTACAAGTTGATGCCAGGTGAAGAAATCGAAAAAAAGAAAAAAAATGATTTGGCAAAATATATTCCTTCATTAAATGAAATTTTTTATTGGTAATTTCAAATTATGCCCAAGAAGTCATCTTTCATCGTCACTGTTGAATCTTTTTGACTGTTCTGTTATGCTTTGGAGTCAAAATCTTCGCCTGATTTGATGCCAAAATTAGATATATAGCCGCAACAAACATAATTCTGATTCCTGGAAGAAATGAAGAGAGACTGGAAGTCGCCGCCAAATAAATCATGTTGAATGGAGAGCATGTTCTATTAACATGCTTCGCCTATATATATATATATATATATATATATATATATATATATATATATATATATATATATATATATATATATATATATTCATATATTCGCTATGACAAAAAAAGTTTTGATACTATTTATGTTGATCTTTTTCGAGTTCTATTTATTTTTGTTCGAATGATTCGGCTGAATAATTTACTGGCAATTTTGAAACAGAAAAATTATTCGACATTGAACAAAGAAACCAGATCTAAAAATGGTACAAAGACATGATTGGTTACAGAATCTAAGAAAACGCGTCCAAACCACTTAAAAGAAATGTTCGGTAAATAATTAATAAACACACTGCACTTCTGAGTAATATATAAATAAGTCAAATATATTATATAAAAGTCAAGGCTTTCGAATACAAGAGACTATTGCATGGATTAGTTATAACAAATTTAGTACAGGAGAAAAGAAAATTGAACTTAGAATAAGCTGCACGACCTGAACATTTTTCCACTAAAAGCTTCCCAAAACGATAACGTTAACCTAAAAATTCGGTGCTTAAATACTTTAGTCACATCGAGAATTTTATATGAAAGCCATGTATTGCTCAAAATTCATTAGAGAAATCGATTCCATTGCTAGATCTGTTACTAGAAATGTTGGTTCTCTGTGTCGTGCTAGACACCTTTTTCTCGCCAGAATCTCTCTCACATATCTATAAGTTTATAATTCGTTCTTTCTTCCACTATTGATGTCACATCTGATCTGGTACTCCTGTATATATATATATATATATATATATATATATATATATAGATAGATAGATAGATAGATAGATAGATAGATAGATATTCTTGATAAAATCCAAAGAAGAATCTACAATCCCTCCACCCAAGCCGCTAGTGGCCTGCTGACAGGCCGTCGTTGGCAACGCCAGCGGTCCTCTTGTGGCAGCCACCGGTGGGCCTCGAGCGGTCCGCCAATGGTAACATTGCCAAGCCGAACACACCGGAGTACCGACAGCGGCAAACGCTAGTGGCATGCCACCCAGTGCCAGATTGGTTGCTTGCGTCATAATTTATATCGGATGTAGCCCGTCTCTATTATTTCTAGGCTTACGGCTACATCAAGTTGAAACGCCAGTTCTCATACGATCACCAAAGTTAAGCAATGTCTATCCTGGTCAGTACCTAGATGGGTGACCGCTTAGGAATAGCAGGTGCGGTAAGCTTGGATTTTCAGCTGATGTAATGGATAATACCTCCCAGGATTGTCAGTCGGATAAGGCGTGTTCCAATTCCTCTTGGATTCATTTTCGCACAAATATATTTAGGGAAAATATAAATCCATCTCTTCTCTCTCCAGCTATGGGTTAATTAGTAATACTTGCATCACTAAACGATTGCTATCTCTAAGAATAAAACTGCGTACAAAATATTTAGATTTCGGTATTAAATAACCCGTAGAGGTGTTGATATGCCGCTAAACAAAAACAACCAAGCAACTACTAATATTTCGTTCTTGTTTTTGTTTGTTTTTTTTTAACTGCATTGGGATCCAAGTAAAAGAATTGCCTATGGTCTGACATTAATGCAGAAGAGATTAGTTGCTATAGAAGTGCATTGAAATCAAGTTTGCTACAGAAACCATATAATTCCGAAATCATAAATTAATGAAAGTGTTTCTGAGAAAATAGAATCCAATGTTACAGTTTTTTTGTGTATATGTGTGAAACTAGTGAGCGAGTCAGAATGACTTATTTCCCTTTATAGTCTACCAATAGAAGATTAACCAATCAGGAGCCGCAAAACACTGTATCCGTCGTGTATAAAGGCGGCCATTTTTGTTTACTCTACCGGAATGACCAGAGACAACTTGTCCGGCGAACATGACAGACGGAATAACTACGCTATGCTACTTTGCTGCGATATCCACTGCGAACCTGCACTACGCTTTCCTACTGTCTCCGAAATATTCACTGCCAACCTCTGGATTCTATACTCGAAGACGACCGTCATGAAAATGTCTAACATCCAATGTATATTGGTAGAATTATACCTTGATGATGCTTCTACTTCTATTTTATCTGTGTCAGAGCTCTCCACATTATCCTGTTCTTTGTAGCACTTAATAAATTTTGTCTTTTTGTCATCTCTCCGAAACTTACTCAGTTTCCCACAGAAGCCTTTGCGTTGATTTCCTCTGTCACTCTTATCTTCAATCTGTCCCGTGAGTATGTGTGATTTTCCAAAACCGCTTTCCTCGTTGTGTGAGCTAGAAATTTCAACTGTCTCTTTCCGATGATAAGTAAAATTTGCCTTTTTGTTTCCATTTTCTCTAAAAGTTTGGTATGTGTTGAAACACTGGTTCCCGTACGATCATCGAAGTAAAGCAACGTCGACCCTGGTCAGTAGCTAGATGGGTGACCACGTGCGAAACCATGTGCTTCAGTGTGCGGGTGGATAACGGCTCAGAATTGTTAATCGCAAAACCGAGTTCCAATCACATTTGGGTTCGTTATATTCATTTACACGCAAAGAACCTTGGGAATGGTATGAATTCACCTTTTCTTCTCCAGCTATGGGTTAATTTATTGTATTTAAATATTGTGTATATATATATATATGTGTGTGTGTGTGTGTGTACAAGACAAAGCTAGGCAAATCAAGAATATTAATGCAAAATGTTCAGTCTTTTTCTCCCTCTCTCGCTCAATCTCTCTCTCTCTCTCTCTCTCTCTATATATATATATATATATATTTGTTTCCATCTTTAGAGAAGATGGAAACAAAAAAGACTAGATTGTAATAACTTTTTTTACATAATAAGGACTTACTGATACAAGTAATATATATATATATATATATATATATATATATATATATATTATTACTTGTATCAGTAAGTCCTTATTATGTAAAAAAAAAAGTTATTACAATCTAGTCTCTTTTTTGTTTCCATCTTCTCTAAAACTTCATCTTTGTTTACATATATAGTCTATGGTATCCTCAGCACCCTTCTGTAGAATCACATTATTAACTTTTCTTCATGTGTCAGGAGATTGTCCAGAATTCACTACCTTATAGGAGGACTGACACTGAGTTAATAAAATCTCTCCGACATAATTTGTTGTCATTTGAGCTTGTGTAGTGTGCTTCATGAACATCCGTGCAGAAATAAATAAATAAATAAATATATATATATATATATATATATATATATATATATATATATATATATATATACATAATTATTCACAAAAAACTAATGCAAAGGTTAATGATTTAAATGGCGAGACATCCATCATCATAAAAATTCAAATAATATACAAAACCTCCGAATCCGTTATGAATGAAATGACCCTTGTTTATATAAATTTCTATATAAAGACGAAAGCTTGTAGTAAAAATAAGAACTAATACGACAGAAATTTATATAAACAAGGGTCATTTAATTCATAACGGATTCGGAGGTTTTTGTATATTATTTGAATTGTTTGCGATGATGGATGTCTCGCCATTTAAATCATTAACCTTTTGCATTAGTTTTTGTGTGAATAATTCATGTATTTGTAAATTGATTGCACGTTTATCGTAATATATATATATATATATATATATATATATATATATATATACATTAAAAGAGAAATAATTCTAGGTGATGAAAGTGAATTTGACAATAATCTGCAGCACTAGAAACACTTCAAAATGACACCCTCGAACAAACAAACGTCAATATTTTAAGCCTGATTTCCAATATGTCGTACGTCCTTTTGATGTGAGAATCTTAACTTCTTGACGTCTGTACATGGACAAACCAAACGAAAGGAATGTTCTCTTCCGTTTCACAGATAAGAATTCCTTGCTTTTGTGTATTTGATTTTTCATTTGTTTCAAACCGTTTCAATGGCATCAGGATACTCTTTGAATGCACGTCTTTTTCTTCGTCGATATTAAACTTCTGATTAAGTTTCCAGTCGGCCAATTTGATGAATGCAACAGAGACCCGATCGCCAACCGAGATTTCTTTTCTAACGCCCCAGTTCAATTTCCCCATTTGATGTGGATTCGTATCTTGTGAGCAGCGGCGAATTTAGTTGTGCCCCATTTGATTGGATTTATTTCATTTCAACCGGGAAGCGATCGGCAAACCATCAAAGAGTAATATGTTTAACATTAAATGTTATAACGGCAGAGTAAGTAGACGAATTCAATGTTTTATGGTTTCTATAAAATATTGTCAAACGAACAAGTAACAGAAGTGTGATCGTCATAACGAATACTACGGATATCTAATTAGAATCTCCTGGTTTCAAAAACATTCGATAACTGAAAGTTCAAAATTCTCTTTGATGCTGCCTAAATTGGGCTATTTACGTTGTGAGCAATTGTTCAACTTGAGATTTGATCGCAGATCAGAAGAAATTTTTGTCGGAGATTTAACAACTGAAATTCATTGTCTGTCCTGATTGTTACCAGTTATAATGATGAACCTATGGGAACAAAAATAATTTTACTAACTTCTCACCACTTTAAAATGTACGAATAAAATATAAATTACGCTAATTATTGCATGAAGCAAGTAATATTAGCAGCATACACAGCCCATATCCACATGGACAACGGAATAAGTGTTGCAACCTAGGGAAGGTTACAGAATAGAATAATCAAACGAAGGTTGGTAATGAACGATAATACTTAGGACAAGAACAACACATATAAGATTCACCATCGGCGAGTAGAGGTAGTCAACTGTTACAAGTGAGTCAAGTAAATTCCACAATGAATCTTCAACTGCGGGATATCTACCAACCACCCCACGCATTCAGATGTGGTACAAGGCCGAATTTAATGTGGGGTATCTGAGCCTGTAGGCCCGGACAGAAATTCCCCGTAGATCCCGTATAAAACGAAGTCGGGTAGCTGTTTTCCGAGACGAGACTTTGCCCATCGACATAGCCTCGTCTGGGGATCCTCTTCGCACGGGGGCAGACAATTTAATCAGCCCAGCTGGAGACGAATCTCCAATTCTAGGATATCTACCACCCGCACCACGCAGTCAGATGTGGCACAAGGCCGAATTATATGTGGGGTATCCGAGCCCGTAGGCTCGGCCAAATTTTCCCGTAGGCCCCGGAGTCGGGTAGCTATTTCCCGAGACGAGACTCTTACATTTGACATAGCCTCGTTGGGGGATCCTCTCCGCACGGAGGCGGAGAGTTTGACCAGCCCAGCTGGAGACGAATCTCCAAGTGTAGACCAAGTACAGTATTCACTATTGTATTTATGGGAATACGGGCATACCCATTATCATCCGTAAGTATGTTACAACAATAAGCGAGACGAGTTCAAATTCCAAGATAATCTTAAATTCACTTTCGTTTCCTTAGGAAGAAATGAATTCTTCTCTTCGCCTATCGTGATACGGTTTAAATCCCAAGGGAGATTATTCTCTATAGATTTGAATGGCAACCACTTTAAGATTTATCGCAGGGCTTTTTCAAAGACAAGCAATATAGCTTTCGTTTCTCCAACTCAACTGCTGATGTACTGACGATATTTGCGGAAAGAGGTTATCATGCTCTCGATAAAAACAGTGAGGCCTGAGTTGTTGCATCGAACATCCCGAAAGCCTTTGACAGGATTTGGCATTCAGATCTTCTCCACAAGCTGAAAAGTTACGTTATTTCCGAACACTTTTTTGAACTGATCCAGTCTTTCCTATCAAATAGTGAAATGAGAAATATCCTAAGCGGCCAGACGTCTCGAACTTTTCGTACTAACGCAGGTGTGTCACCCGGGTCTCCATCCTTGGTCCTATCTTAGTTTTAATTTTTATTAATGACCTTCCTGGTGACATCAGGTCTCAACTTGGTATCTACGGTGACGACCCTTCCAATTTCTTCCTGTCTCGAGGTTAAAAATGGCAGCCGATATCCAAAATGTCCTCAAGTCCGTAGTTAACTGGAGCAAAATTTTAACGCCTGCAAAACTAAACTCCTGTTAATTAATCATCATCCTTTGCTGCTTTCCATAAGAATGGCTGATGCTATCCTCCACGAAAGTTACTTGTTGTGACTTCTCGGGATGACGTTCTCTGCTGATATGTAAGACTATAGTGAATCCATTGCTAGGTCAGCTGCTAGGAAAATCGGTTCAATATATTGGACGAGATAATTTTTCTCTCCAAAATCCATCTTACATATATTATATATGTCTACCATTCGTTGATGCTTAGAATATTGTTACCACATATGGTTCAGTGCCCTGGATCTCCTTGAGAAGATCCAAAGAATAATCTGCAATATTATTGGTCCTGGTCTGGCAGCTCAGTTCCAGTCACTTTGCTACCTCCGTAAGGTTGCCTCTCGGTGTCTTTTCTATAAATACTTTCATGGTAATTGCTCGAATGAGTTCTTCGCTATGGTACATAGATTTTTTGAATATAAGCCTATCACTAGATCGTTGAGATCCCATCAATTTACAGTTTAACTGGCTATATATAACCGTAATGTCTATGCTAACAGCTTCTTCTCTCGCACCTCGCTTTGTGGAACTCCCTTCTGGCTCAATGCTTCCCAGCCAATATTAATCTGTAAAAATTTAAATGCAATTTCAATCGCTATCTACTGCCGATCTGATTACTCTCTTCTCTTTCTTATTACTGTTTCTGTTCCTAATTCTTCCAAACTCTGTAACCTCTTGCGGTCTAGTGACATTACCGCCTTGCTTGTGGTGATTCCGATTAAAAAAAAAAAAAAAAAGATGAAAAATTCAATTCCGGTTGGTAGAGAAGGCAATGGGAAATATCTCCTGGATCTTCCTTAATGTATTAACGGCATGCGCAACCATTATCCACATGGAAAGCGGAATAAGTCAGCCGGGTTCAAATTTGAGGTGAATCTTGAATTCACTTTCATTTCCTCATCGTCCCTCGAGCTTCGTTTAAATACCAACGTAGATTGTTCTCTATAAATTCGAATGGCATTCTAACAGAGGAAAAATTAAATTCCAGTCGGCGGAGAAGGTAACTGGAAATATCTCTTTTATCTTCTCAAAGAAATCATTGCATTTCACATAGAAGAAAGAAAAGGAAACCGTACAGAGTCATAATCAACTACATCCTGAAATGACATGGCATTTTTAATTACTAAATAAAGAATAGTTGGCAATTATTAACGTTTAAAAATAAAGCTTGTATTACGTATTTTGCTCTGGCAATTAAGAGACATCGTAAGTTTGAGAATAATGCTGTAGATCTTATGACGCGACTTCGTATCACAATAATCAAAGAACTCAGTCATCAATAGCCGCGTTAAACATATGGGCCTTCTTCTTCTTCTTCTTCTTCTTCTTCTTCTTCTTCTTCTTCTTCCCCCTCCCTTCATACTGAATATCTTTTATTTTCTTCTTCTTCTCTTTATCCGATCATCATCTATATTCTCTT